ATGGGCAGTGTAATGCATTGTGTGGAGAAAATAGGCTTTTTTTTTCCCTCCAAAGCCTAGATCAGGTTAGCTCCTAAGGCCTAAATCTGCTTTCTTTGTAACGTGTACTTCAGGTGAACCAATTTATTCCTTATTTCTTCATTTCCAAGAACACAGGAAACTTAAAAGATCACAAAGGTAAAGAGCTTCCCTATTAAGAAAAACCATGTCTTCTTGAAAGTCTTTGAATCCTTGATGTATGATCCTTGATGTAAGAAGCTATTAGTGACGCTTTCTACTGATGTGCCTGGCTACTTCTTCTTATGCTTCCCTGTATTTTAAGTACCAGGGATGGAGCATAACTCAGGCTGGCAATGTTGGGCAGTTTGGCAGGAAGTGAGTGGGCCAATATGTCTGTATGTCTGTGGGTGAGCCCAAAAAGCCAAGTCCTAAAATGGGCTACTAATAAGGATTTCTAGGAAAGATAGCAGAAGTCAGCCTTTCAGTAAACCAACCTGACATTTTAACTGAATTACAAGGGCACTTAGAGCAGTGAACACTCCAGTTCTGTAAAGGGGGAAACATTTCATTTAATCCCATAAGTAAAGGTTAAAGTAAACTAAATGTACTGATTTGAATTGGTGTTTATTTTGTATCATTTAAACAATCTTCTTTTACTCCCAACTGTTTTCATTGTTTGTCTCCTGCCCTCTTTTCCTGTTGATATGTGGTGGGGATTTTTCCTATCGGTCATCAGAATAAGTTCCATAAGAAATCAGGCAGGAAGTAAGAAGGGCAGTGAATGATGTGATTACAGTTAAAAAGATGGAACAGTCATAATTACAGCATTTCACCCAGTTTTCAGATGGAGCCTTGTCAAGAGGACATCTTTGCTTTCTCAGCTTGGTTATACTTTCTACACCCAATAATAGTGGAAAGAGCATTAGATTTGGGTTTACAAACTATTAGAGCTGGAGAAGTGCTTAGCTTAGAGTTCAGTGAATCCAGCCCTTTATTTCACAAAGGACGAAACAGAGATTCAGGAGAGTGGAGCTATTTAAGGTCACGTAGTTAATAAATTAAGGCTTGAACTCTGGTCTTAATTTTTCTTGCCACATACCATTGCTGTTCAGGAGAGCTAGGTTCAAACCCCCGCTCTGATACTTAGCTTCTACTTTTTGATGTTCAGTCATTTTCAGTTGTGTGTCTGACTCCTTGTGATGTCATCTGGGGTTTTCTTGGCATGGTTTGCTATTTCCTTCTCGAGCTCATTTTACAGATGGAGAAACTGAGGCAAACAGGGTGAAGTGACTTGCAGAGGGTCACACAGGCAGCAAGTGTCTGAGGCGAGATACTTATAAGTAAAAACAAAAAAACAACCACTTTGTAAACCTTAAAGCCCTGTATAAAGGTGAGATCTTATTTATATATGAAGCAGCCTTGTATAATGGTTAGAGAGCTAGGCCTTGTAGTCAGAAAGGTCTGGATGCACATCCTGCTTTGGCACACACTAACTGTGTAACCATGGGCAAGTCACTTTATCTCTTGGTGCCCAGGTAACCCTCCAATCGATCAACAAGCATTTATCAATACCATGTTTTAGATATCATGGAGTGCTGGAGATACAAACAAACATGAAATGTGCCTGGCCCTCAAGTTGCTGATCTACCTCAGTGAAGGGAGTTCCCCCACACAAATGAACTCACAGACCCTGAACAAATCAAATTATTTACAAAGTCACACAATCCCAGGACTTCAAATTTGGAAAGGACCTTCCTTAGCAGCCATCTAGTCCAGCCCATATCTAAAAGAACCCCTAATTATAACATAGCTGACAAGTGGTTGTTTACCTAGCCTCTGCTTGAAGACCCCTGGGGAGGGGGGGAACCCATCATTGTCATCTCCAAAGGCAGCCCCATTCCGCTATTAGACGGTTCTGAATAAATGTTTGGAAACTTTTCCTGACATCAAGCCTAATTATATAGAACTCCACCTACCACCTGCCTCACCAACAGCCTGTGAGGCGTAGGGTACAAACATGGCAGCTGGGTGGCTGCATAGTAGGTAAGGCACTGAACTCAAGACTTGGGATAATCTGAGTTCAAATCCTCCCTTAGGTACTTATTAGCTTTGTGTTCCTAGGCAAGTCACTTAACCTTTTTCATCCTCAGTTTCCTCATCTGTAAAATGAGGGTGATAATAGTATCTCCCACACAGGATGGTTAGGAAGATCAAATGAGATTTGTATATAAAGTGTTTTGTAAACCTTAAAGCATTATGTAAATACTAGCTATTTTTATTATACACATTTTACTGATGAGGACACTGAGAGCCAAAAAAGTTAAACATAGTTTCTGTGACTAGAAAGTATCAGAGCTAGCCAGTCAGACAGTAAACAAGCATTTATTAAATGCTTACTGTATTCCAGGCAGTGTGCTGAGCACTGGGGTTACAAAGAAAGACAAAAATATCAGTCCCTACCCTCAACATGTGTCTTCCCAGCCCCCTCCCCATCCTGCTATCCCTCACATAGGCGGGTGGACAACTTGATCTGCCTACTCACCTTGAATATTAAAACCAGATAATCAAAAATTATTTTACTGAACACTTTGTATATAAGTGGATGTGGAGATCCAGTGCCTAGTAAAATGCTTGGTACATGGGAGATGCCAATAAATGGTTATGAACTGATTGATTGAATCAAAAAATGTGTTAAAGCTTTTGTTTTTAAGGCCCTCCTTGTCTGATTTTAGAGATGCCACTTCTACATGGAAAGTAAATTTACCAGACCTGCACCCCCAAGAAATCAAAGAAAGAAGAAGCAGTCCTATATGTATAAAAATATTTCTATCTACCCTTTTTATGTAGTGGCAAAGAGTTGGAAACTAAGGGGATGTCCATTGGTTGGGGAATAGCTGAACAAATTATGGTTTATAAATGTAATAGAATTATGCTATAAGAAATGAAGGGGGTGTGGTTCCAGAAAAACCTGAAAAGTATGATACGAATGGATTCAGAGTGAATTGAGCAGAACCAGGAGGATAGTTTATACTTTAACAACAACATTGTTTCAAAAAAATTTCTTTGAGACAGCGAAGTGGCGCACTGAATAGAGCACTGGCTCTGGAGTCAGGAGGACCTGAGTTCAAATGCAGCCTCAGATACATAACACTTACTAGCTGTGTGACTCTGGGCAAGTCACTTAACCCCAATTGCCTCATCAAAAAACAAAAAAAAAATTTCTTTGAGAGATTTAAGAACTCTTAATCAACCCAGTAATCAACTGTGACTCCAGAGGATTGTTAGTGCTAAACACTAACCACCTTCTGATAAAAAGGTGACAGACTCAGGATTCAGAATGAGATCCGTTTTTGGACACAGCCAGCATGGGAAGTTGTTTTACTTCACTGTGCATATTTGTTAGAAGAGTCTTGTTTTTCGTTTTTCCCAGTAGGGAGAAGAGAGAGAAGAAAAAATAAGTGTTTGATTATTATTTTTTAAAGAGAATTAGCTAACAAAGTAATGTGTGAGTGTTAAATGAGTAGTCCAAATAGTAAACGAAAATCCTTTTATTAGGTAAGATGTGATGGGAGGGGAGGAAACAAGTGTAGTAATAGTCACATTTTCTCTTCTGTCAAAGTCAGTTAAAAACATGATAGGAATATAAGCAACCACTGCACAAAATTGAGTTAGATGTTGAGGATCTTTTTTGTCTTTTTTTTTTAAGCTATATTAGGGCTTGTGTTTGGATTTCTTGCCTTCTGCTTAATCTAGTTGTCTGTCTCTTTCCAAAGAAAGATTCAGAGAATCCCACAAGGGAATCTCCTGTTGTAGTTCTGGGCCAGGAAATGTTTCTGGGCAATGCTGTGAAAGAATTGGTACTAGAGATATTTTGAAGAGAAAGGAATAGAGAAAGAGGCATGGATTTATAAGAGGAACAATTTTAGACCCAAATGTACCATTAAGAGAAACAAAACGCTGCCTGGGAAGCTCAGAGGGAGGGAAAATGTAGGTAGATATACTAGAAAAGATTAAACCTGATGCCAAAAGGGGATCTTGGCAGAAAATATAAAAGAATTATAGTACAACAAAGCCTGTGGCTAAGAAAATATTCTATTTCTGAGTGTCCGTTCACTTCTCATAAACTATCTAGCCCGTGAAAGAACCTAAGGACAGGAATAAGTTGGCAGCAGGCAGCAGGACCATTAGCTGGTTGGTGGGATGCAATCACAGCATTTATGGCTAACTAGCCCAATAAAGACACAGCTATTTTGGAGAAGAGAGGTAGAGAGAAGGCCTGATTAATCAGACAAGTATTTCGTGAATGTCTGTCCCAGGGGTGAGGAACCTGCAGCCACGTGTGGTCTTCTAGGCCCTCGAGGGCAGCCCTTTGACTGAATCTGAACCTCACAGAACAAATCCCCTTAATAAAAGGATTTGTTCTGTAAAACTTGGACTCAGTCAAAAGGCTGTACCTGAGGACCTAGAAGGCCACATGTGGCCTTGAGGCTGCAGGTTCCCCAACTCTGGTCTGTCACATTCTTGCTATGGATCGCAGTCTGGCCTCTTGATTCATCAGGCCTTTTTGTGACGTAAATTTCTAGTATTTAAGGTTGGTGTGGCCTGCCCTTCCTCCTTCTTTTAGCCATAGTAAACTCAAAGTCTATTTAGTAACCAGGCAGTATGGCATAAATGAACGAACATGTGCCCTAGGAAGTCAGATGACCTGAGTTTGAGACCTAACTCTGATACTACCTGTCACTCCAGACAGGTTAAATTGGGGGAAATTAGTACTTTCACTACCTACCTCACAGGATTGTTGGGAAGAAAACATTTGTGAGCCTGAAAGCAGTGTGTAAATATGGGTTATTATTATATCTTTATACACAGGATTCTGTCGATGAATTTAGATTATTTGTGTCAAATGGATATGGGAAATTTTGCAGCTAGTGGCCAGTGACAGAAATCAAGGAATTTATTTTGAGATTTGGTCTAAAAATTCTTTGTTGTAACTCTTTCAGACTGATGTAATGCACCAAAACATATATGATTATATTCATGTGGACGACCGCCAAGATTTCTGCAGACAGCTTCACTGGGCCATGAATCCTCCCCAGATGGTGTTTGGGCAGCCATTACAGTCAGAAACAGGTGGGTCAGAATCAGGCACTAGATGGAAAAATCCACTTGTGCTGGAAAGTCCAAACCGGTGTTGTTGAAACCCTTTGCCAACCTCAGTTTGGCCTAATTTTATTCTCCTGACGGCAAACACATTACAAATCTAGGTTGGGATCTTGGTGAGGGAGAGTGGCTCCTAGGGATGGAGCTGATGACTCTCTTCCCTGTGATTAAATGTGGAATCACTCCTGCAATCTGGAGTAATTGAGCCTACCTATTCATGATTCCAGGCCTCAGAATCTTACAGCCTCTTAAGTTGGGGAGTGGGAGGAGGAAGGAACATTGTTCTTCCTGGATGCCTCCATGACGTCCAGTTAACTTTGTAAGTTGCCCATTTAACTTGATAAGTTGTCTCTATGGAATCTGTCTTTTATGGTTTCTACCAAAGCAACATGGTGAATACCTCCTAATCTAGGGCTGTAACAATAGGGGCTTATAATCTATTAAGGGAATGCACACAAATATATGAGTCACTATATTGAAAATCACTGAATGACATACTCTGTTTGCCTCATACTTGACTATGTTACTCCATACATCTATAGTTTACTTCTTGCTTTTTCTTCTCACTCGTATTTAGGGATAACTTTTTTGTTGCAGGTTGAGCAGTGCTCCCAAAGAGTTTAGAATGAATCACAGGTGTTTCTAGATCAACTCATGAAAATCGGACCATGACCAGTCTTGGGTGTTTCTTCTCATACACCCTTTTTCTTCCTATTGCTCTAAGTTAACAATCTCTGTCTTGAGAGGAAGTGTGGTATACTGGATAGAGTCCTGGATTTGGAGTCAGGAAGTGTGTTCAGTCTTTTTTCAGTCATGTCTGACTCTTCATGACCCCATTTGGGATTTTCTTGGCAAAAATATTGGAGTGTTTTGCCATTTCTCTCTCTGGATCGTTTTAGAGATGAGGAAACTGAGGTAAACAGGGTTAAGTAACTTGCCAGGGTCACACAGTAAATGTCTGAAGCCAGATTTGAACTCAGATCTTCATGACTTCCTATCTCCAGGCTGTGCACTCTATCTACTGTGTCACCTAGCTGCCTTGAAGTCAGAAAAACCTAGGTTCAAATTGTGACTCTTATGTGCTAGCTGTGTGAGTCTGGGAAAATATTGACTCTTTCTATGCCTCAGTTTCCTTATTAATAGAATTGATTAGAATTAGAATTAATGTCCTCTGAGATCCTTTCTAGCCCTCAGTGTATAATCTGTATCACTCTACACCACCTCATCTCTTTTCTCCCTCTTCCTACATGCAATCTTATTCCTTTAGTATTATCCCAGGATATCAGCTATTTGTTTAGATTCTTTGTCCAGCTGTCATCTCCAAATAGTTGGAATACTCCCTCTCTACTTCTTTCTATCCACCTATCCAACAAACCATGATACTTGACTTCTCTTTTTTGAATTTTTCCTGGAAACTTTTCTTCCCTAAAAATAGCTATTTATAGATTGCATCTTGCTGGATGCTTAGAGACCACTGTACCTGCATGTGATACTTTTCTAGTTATAAAATGATTATTCACTTTCTGTCTTTCTTGCCTGAGATAAAAACTTCCTCAGGCAACACCTATTTATTTTTTAAATTTATTTTATTAATTTATTTTGATTTATCAACAATCACTTCCATATGCTTTTGAGTTTAAAATTTTTCTCTCCCTTCCTCCCCACCACCCTCCCCAAGACAGCGCACAATTTGATATAGGCTATATATTTACATTCCTGTTAAACATATTTTCACATTAGTGAAGTTGTAAGTAAAAATTAAAACCAATAGGAGGAACCATCAAAAAGAGGAAACAAAACTCAACAGAAGAGAAAAAAAATGATAGCGATTCAACTTCCATAGTTCTTTCTTTGGATGTGGATAGCATTTTCCATCACTAGGCCTCTGAAGATGTCTTAGATCCTTGTATTGCTGAGAAGGGTTAAGTTTATCAATATTAGTCATCGTACAACGTGGCTGTTATTGTGTACAAAGTTCTCTTGGTTCTGCTCACTTCACTCAGCATCAGACCATACAAGTCTTTCCAGGTTTTTCTGAAGTCAGCCTGTTCATCATTTCTTACAGCACAATAGTATTCCATTACATTCATATACCACAACTTGCTCAGGCATTCCCCAGTTGATGCGCATCCTCTCAATTTCTAATTCTTTGCCACCACAAAAAGAGCTGCTATGAATATTTTTGTGCATGTGGGTCCTTTTCCCATTGTATGATCTCTTTAACACCTATTTATTTTGATGGAAGGGACTGACACTTCTTAAATTTGTGCAAAATAAAAATGTTGAAATACGCTGCTAAGAGCTGTGAAGCCCTACTCATTCAGTACTGTGTATTCTGACATAACATTTTCTTTGTGAGTCGCACTCTGCTAGGTGATCGGAGGAATGTAAAATAAATAGACATACTGTCAGATCCTGTAGATCACACTATCCCTGGGGAAGGGAGATAGACCTGTAGTGATGGCAGCAACCTTAGAAGTCATTCAGCACAGTGCTGTCATGGAACACATAAAGAAACTGAGGCCCAATAAGGTGAAATAGCTACCCCTTCTAAGGTCACACTAAAAGCCAAAAAAAAAGAAAAAGGGAAATTCAGGATTCTAGGCCAAGTTACCTGATTCCCAAGTGTTCTGTTAACCCCCCTTCACTGATCTTATGTATATACATAAGTAACTAGAGAACAAGATAATTCAGAGGAAGGAAAAGATCAAATGTAGGATGGTTTGTTTGGAAAGGCTTCAAGGAAAAAGTGGTCCTTGAAAGAAATTCAGACTTTGGATTGGCAGAAAGAAAGGAAAAGGGTATATGATGTGACCATCATTAGTATTTTACCAGTGGAGAAACTAAGGCACATATAGAAAGCTAAGTAATTTGCTCTAAGTCAGGCAGAAATTAAAAGGCACATTTTGAATTTAATACTCGGGGATTTGACTATATAGGTGAGAAAGCCTGTCACCTCACCAAAGTCCCAAAATGAAATAAAATGATATACACAAAGTGAGTGTAAACTGTTAGGGAAAGGCACAGTGGAAACTAGATGACGTAGTAGCAACTTTTTAAATGTTAAGTATTCTTTTGGACAAGCTACATGTCTGAGACACATTTTGCAAGTTTCACATTTGAAGAAAAACAAAATATGCAAATCATGATCTTTTACTTTTCTTTTGTTCACCTGTCCATGTTTTTATATGGACATTATTGTCAGACACACTTTGTCCTCCACTGTTATTGGCAGGAGAAGAATACATACTTGATAAGCTGCTTAAAGCACAAGAATGTGACAGTATGTCAACGGAATACTCTGCCTTCCTAACCCGATGTTTCATCTGCCGAGTTCGCTGCCTGCTGGACAGCACTTCTGGTTTCCTGGTAAGTAAAATTTGTTAAGGAGAAAAAAAATTGTGGCTGAACAACATTCTAATGACTGACTTTTCTCAGTAATCTGAAAACAGTATGGTGAATGATATAAAGGCATAACTTCTTTGGAAGGGGAAAGAAGAGAATAGGAATAGAAAAGGAAGTGGGTTATTTGAACTTTTCAACAAATTCAAAAAAGGGAATCTGTGATTTGGTTTATATAAGAAATTAGTCATGAGCAACTTCAAATAGGCAGATTTCAATCCATCTATGACATAGTAGACAAATCCCAAGTTGCTACCCCAAGTTGCTACCCAGGATACATAAAAGTTAAGTGATTTGCCCATGGACAAACATCTAGTATCTGTCCAAGGCTGGATCTGAACCCAGGCTTTCCTGATGCCAAACCCAGCACTCTTTCCATTGTACTTCATCTTTTTTACTTTAAGTAATGCTTATTAGTCTATCATCCTAGATATACTTAATGATAGGCTTTTGTAGTTATATAGATTTGTATTAAAAGTACCCCCTTCTCCTTCAGGGTCCTCTAAATGCTTCTTGTCCAAAAAGCTTTTAATTAAAGTAGGCATCATCCAGTTCCCTATATGTCAGTATCACCACGCAGTTCCTTAATCTTCATGCCTATAATCTGACCATCTTCCATATCACATGTAATGAATATGAATAGTACAATTCTTTATTCATAATAGCCAATCAGTAAATCATAATGAATGAATGAAAACAATGTGTGTTCTGTTCATAAAGTGACCATTCATCCAATACCACCATTGAACAAGATAGTCTTGATTATATGGTGGTAAAGAAGACGAATAGGCACTAGCTCTGTGATTTCAGTGGTATGAGGAACGCTCAGTTGGGAAAACTCTATCAACCCAGATTGACACCTTCTCTTTAATGGATAGTCCTAGAAAGCTGCCTATAGCCCTAAAAGGAGCCATGACTTGTCCTGGGTCACACAGCTCATATGGGTCAGACATGGGAACTGAACCCAGATCCTCCTGGCTTTGAAATGAGCTGTCTTTCAACTGCCTCACAGTGGTAAAACTTCTGGAAAATGCTGGGAATCCTTCCATAGACTGCTTATAATGCATCTTCAGGTTTAATTGTGTTTCTATTTAAAATATAGTATGTGTGCTTTTTTTAACTATACTTCCCCCATCCTACAGAGGAAAGCATCCTGACCAATAGCTTCATGTCTCTACCTGCCAGGAAACAAGGAAGAAGAAAAATCTGTCAGTTACTGCTGGTATAAATAGTCAAAACCACCACTGTGTTCCTTAGACTTTTCATTTCTCTCAAGTTTGTGCCATGACCATTTGGAAGTATGTTTGTTAATAGTTTGTTCACATTATATTAGTTCGTATTTATGTAATAAAAAAAGGTTTCCGAGGCACTTTCTGTACAATAATGTAAGGTGCATAAGGCAAAGTTTATTGCTTCTATTTTACAAGTGAAATTGCTGTTCCAGGGAGCTAAGTGACTTACTTGCCCAAGTTCATTTAGGTGGTCAGGGTCAGAGCCAGGATTTGCATCTTGCTCCCTTTCCTCGTACCTTGGTACCTGCTCTTGGCTCCCAGAAGAAAAGTCTCTGGCCTGTAGGGATCAGGCACCTGGAATTCTGTACTTAACTGCACTACCAACAGCAAAGCACCAAAGCTTCTGATGATGTAAGAGGCTGAGACTCTGAGATACTTCAGTGAAAGTCCTTGTGTGTGTGTGTGTGTGTGTGTGTGTGTGTGTGTGTGTGTGTGTATATATATGTGTGTGTGTGTGTGTGTATGTGTATATGTATATATGTGTGTGTGTGTGTGTATGTGTATATGTATATATGTGTGTGTGTGTGTATATATATGTGTGTGTGTGTATATATATGTGTGTGTGTGTGTGTGTGTATGTGTATGTATATATGTGTGTGTGTGTATATATATATGTGTGTGTGTGTATGTATATATATGTGTGTGTGTGTGTGTATATGTATATATGTGTGTGTGTGTGTATGTATATATATACACAGAAAGCATGATTGATATTTTAACAGGGTGGGATGTACATGCTAGAAATCATAATGGACTCTGGGAAGAACACAGTGGTATAGGATACTACTTTCATAGTTCATGTAAGGGCTGGAAATATAAGACTCTCATAGGGGGACCAATAATATGTTGTGTTTTGTTTTATTAATAGCCAAGATTAGATTTAGCCAGTGTATGACAATATATTATAGGACCGCTTCCTTTGCTGAGATGCATCCTATGTCTCATTACTACATTTATGGAGAATTAAATTAATACTTTTTCTTCCTATGTACTCTTTGAGACCTAAATTCAATCATGACATTAGAGAATTGAGATTTTAAAAGTGAGGGTAGCCCAAAAAAAAAAAAAAGAAAGAAAGGGACCATGAAAAGCAAGAAATAAAAGACATTAGTTTAAAAAACTAAAAAGTATTTAGTTCATGTCAGTTTTTAAATGGAAAGAAAGGAGAAGCGAATTCTTCACATGTGAATGAGAAGTAGCTGAAAAAGTAGGCAAAGTACATAGAGATTACCAGGATGTAAGGGGGGATGGCTTACAAATAAACTTAGTAGCCAAAAAAAATTATGCCCATAAAATTTCTAAGATTCCCAGATACTCTGTAGTAAGAGTGAAGCTGAGATGTACCGGTGATTTCCAGACACTTATGGATGTGGGGCTTGTCTAAAACAAATCATTAAACAAGAAGATGGGTATGGGGATTTGAGTTAGTACAGAGGCTGTCAAGAATCACCTTTTAGCCTTACTTTCAAAAAGATTTTATTTTCAATTGTATGGCAAAATTCTAGGAAGACGAAAATCTTCTCTAGAAAGAGAAGAGAAGTGAGAAAGAGGCAGAATGAGGACCTAGTGAGAAGAGGAAGCTTACTTAGGGTTCTGAAAAAGTATCATCTCTCATGCCTTTTGAAGAAAACTCTTCATCTGAAAATATATCTCACGTTTTCAGACTTTTTGGTTGCTGTTGGCAGAAGAGGTGTGATGGGATCTGTGTGCTTGGGGCTCTTTACAAAATGAGATCTGTTTGTGATGATGATGCCTTTGCTAAGATAGTTTTCCTGCTTTTGCAAGGAAACTGATGAGAGGACCATAGATTTAGATAGAAGAACTTTGGAAGTCATCTGTTCCTACTCCCTTATTTGACAAATGATGAAATTTAAGATCTGGAATGACCTGCTCAGGGTCACACAGTAAGTGGCAGGGTCAGTTTTGGAGCCCATGTCCTCCAATCCCAAATCCATCCCACTTTGCATTGTGCCGTTTTAGCATCTCCAATCTCCTGTGGCCTTTGGCGTCTAGTCACTAAAGGATAACAGTAACTGGAGAAGAGCTCAGACTTTCATCTGTACTCCTAGTCTACACTTTCTTGGTAGAAAGGAATGAAACAACTGGCAATATCTGGAGAGTATCCATTTGATCAGGACTATATTCCGTTCTTATCCACTCAGACTGAGCTTTCTTGCTTTATCTCACTCAGAGTTGGCTTAAAAATAAAGTCCTTAAAGTTGCAGTCCACTCTCATCATGACTGATAATGCAACATAGCACACTAGTGATTCAGAGAGTTTGACAGTTCTTGCCTTACCACTAATGTTTGCTCTCTGACTCTAAGGCAGTCATGTAGATCTTCCATTTCTTGAAGTATGCCTATGGAGGCTTTTTTGTTTGGGGACGTTGAATAGAAAAGCTGCGTTGTTTTCAGTGCAGGGAAAAATTGAATTTGCTATTTTGAAAATGAAAAAAAAAAGGGACTAGGTTGGTTCTGGGTAGAGTACTTTGTTTTTAAGTAGTGCATCTTTTTAGATTTTATTTGTTATAGAATAGAGGTAATATCTTCTCTCTATCACATGGATCTAGCATGAGCCATTACATAAAATATCGTTGTGAAGCACACTAAAGATATGGATTATTTAACATATCCCCATTGCTCTTACCAGGGATTATCCCACTATTGGTCAGAATGTTTTCCTTTGCAAGATGGGGGCGGGGCAGAGAGGACTAAAAAGACTTATCAAAATGACTGAAATTAGTAATAAAGTGTGTTGTAGTTCTCTCAGTTCACCCCCCACCCTGCATCCGGTCCTTCTCTCCCTGCTTTCAGTTTGAGCCCCTAGAATGGAAACAGGTCAGACTTCTAAACCAAGGTGGAAGGAGGTTGAGCTCTTCATACCAGCAGGTGATTGACAGTCTTTTTTGCCTTCATGCTTCCTGGTAGGTGGAAACATAACACTATTGGTCAGAGGGAAGAGGATGACAATGGCATCCAATTATTGGTAAGTTGTTTTTCCTTTTTGTAGTGCAGGGGAGACAGAGAGAAAAAGAAACAAAGAGACAGGGAATTCTTTGCATTAGTGTCCTGCAACATACAGGAGGGGAGGATTCCAGGAATAGGGACGATGTTAGCAGAAAGACATACCTTCACAGCATACAAGTTGCAAGCTTTTTTTTTTTAACTATTTAAGCTGTCTCATAAAATGTCATCTCTAGGACCTTCTTAATTCCTGTAGTTAAACACTTTTAAGATTGTTTTTAAATATTTTAAAAACTCTTTAGTTAACAGTGTCATCCCAAAAAAACTTCGCTGAAATCAAAATCAGATAAATCCTAATACTTTCCAGTCCACAGTTATTTACTGAGCACTTACTAATTTTATGGTATCATGGGGAATATAGAAAAAGCTAAAATACAGTTTCTTCCTTCAGACAGTTTTTAAGAGTCAGTCCGAAGGCCAAATATGGCTTACTGCCTGCCTGCTTTTATATAGCCTTCAGGCTAAGAATGGTTTTTACACTTTTGAATATAATAAAATGTTATTTAACAATTCTGGGGCTATACAAATACAGGCAGTGTGGGTATCCATTCTCTGGGTTCGATTTGGCCTGAGGGCCAAATCTGGCCTATTGCCCCTTTTATATAGCCTTCAGGCTGAGCATGGTTTTTGCACTTTTAAATATAATACAAT